CAAATGCTGTGTGTCTGTCAGGTTTGGCCTAAGTAGCAGAATTTCTGCTGTAAACTAGCCAAATATGTTGTCTGCCATTATGCACGTTTCAGATGAAGGTCAAGTTTCTTCTTCGAGAACATGAGACTCTGTAATGGAAACAAAGCAGCACCTGTTTCATGTACCCATTTCATGATTTGGTGGATATTTACAGAAACAAAAATACTGCACCATGTTTTTAGTACATTGGTATTTGCTTGTATTAAATAACTAAGTTGCTTTATGGATTTACATAATCAATGATAAAGTTATATTCTTTGCATTCAATTAAAAATATTCAGAATTTTACTACAGTGTATATTTTCTTACTTTTTTCTCCTAAATAAGCTATATAATATAAGTAGATTTATATACCTTTTGGTTGACCCTCATTTAGTCATTTTTCAAAATACTGCTATCTCATTGTGTACTTGAAATTGTGCAGGACAACACATTGACAATGTGTTTACTATTTAATATATATACGGTCTGGTTTCTAACTGTATGTACTACCAGTGTCTACCAGAGTGCCATAAAACTTCGAGGCACACAATTGGTAGTCAAAATTTGATGTAAATGGCCTAGTTTTAATGGTCAGATTTTGGTTTATTTAAATTCTTTTCTCTTCATATATCCTGGGATCCTTCATATATCCCAAGCCACGATAACCAAGTAAAGGTTGAGTACTTGTTTGAGACCATATGCTTTAGAGCCATCAAAATGAGTTTTATTTTGCATAAAGCTATTCTGCTGATGATAAGATGAAATTGAAAGAGGTAGTGGGTAGCATTTACAGGGCTGAAATGTAATTGAGTCCATGCATTTAGAAATTAAAGCACTTTTGATCAGATGTCACAGTCTTTGTATGAATATTAAATTACTTGGTGTAACTTAGCATAAACATATTTTTTAAGTATCTACTCACACATTCACCTGTTAATGTAACAAATTAGGCACAGCTGATGGATTTTGAAAATAGCAGCTGTCAACCTCTGTTAAAATCAATCAGTGGCAAGATTGTATATATTAAATCCTATATCATGTCATGAAAATTTATTTACAGTTTAACCACTAATAAGAATAACTGTCAGCTTTGCTGTTGATAGTTTCATGATGTGTTTTGACTCTAGGTATTTTATTTGTATGCAAATTTTTTCATTTAAAACTTTGTGGCATCCTTGAGAAAACTATCCAAGTGTCTTATAATACATCAAACTTTTTAAAAAGAATTTTCTATTGCCTAGAGTTGATCCAGCAATCTCACTGCTGAGTATATACCTAAAGGAATGGAAATCATCACGTCGAAGGGATACCTGCATTCCCATGTTCATCACAGCTCTATCTATAATAGCCAAAATATGGAATCAACCTAAATGTCCATCAGTGGATGACTGGATGAGGAAACTGGTATATGTACACCATGGAGTACTACTCAGCCATAAAAAAAGAATGAAATTCTGGCATTCACAGAAACATGCATGAGCTTGGAGTGAATTATGTTAATGAAATAAGCCAGGCACAGAAAGAGTAATACTGCATGTCCTCACTCATAAGGGGGAACAAACAAAGAAAGAAAGGAATAGAAAAAGAAAAAGAAAGATGACAATAAAACGTTGAACTTTCCAGAAGGAGAGAACAGACTTATAGTTACTGGAAGTGGGAAAGGGGGAGAGGGAAGGGAGTTGGGGAGTAATTGGGTAAGAGATACATGAAATAATTACTATTTGTAATGATGAACATTTGTACACAAATAATGATGGTCAACTCTGTACCCCATAAACATACATAATCAATTATGTTTCATTTAAAAATAAACAAAAGGATTATTAAAAAAGAGTTGAATATTATCTTGAAACTACCATATATTTTTTAGTTCTCTTTATGTTTTAGGAATTAAGCCTTAAAAAAAAAAGTATATCAGAATTTATATTTCCAAGAGTATTCTTGGAAATGGTCTTTAATTAGTAGGCTATGCATTTATTCCAGTGATGAAACCATTGTGAGAGCTATCTGCAAACCTTGTTTTGATATTAATTATAAAGTCTTGTTTATAACCACCCAAGAATATGTTATTACTTTAGTACGCCTTAATTTTTACTGAAAATGTGATTGCTGACCTTATTCACCAGACTTAGCCTTTGAATGGTTTTCAGCTGTCTCTAAAATATAAATCCCTCCTCTTTCTTTTTCGTGGACACAGATTTATCAACATTGGGGATATTTTGGAAATGCATCCCACATACTTGCCCAGTTAAACTTTTTTATTGCAGTTTAATTATATTTCTTCCCCTTTAAGAATTTTGGTGGGTCCCCATTACCCACCACCAAGCCCAAATTTATCCTCCTTCTAGTCTTTGCTCACTACCGACTTTTCTAGACCCCAAACAAAATATTTTCATTGTTTGCTGACCATTTCAGTCAGAGGCAGTATCTGTCTTTCAGGTTCCAAGCATCTGATATATTTCCTCTGCCATCTGCCTTGCCAGGTCATAATCTAGTCATTGGGGCACTATCTTCCTCCAACTGTGAACATACTTAAGATATTCAGAACTTACTAATTCAAATAAGATTTTTAAAAATTCTACTCAGTCTTTTTCTTTTTTTTATTCTTACTCAATAGCTCTTCTCCACATCTGTCCTGAAAAATTAGAATTGATAGCTGAAGTATTTCACAGCCAGAGGCAATGGCTCAATAGGGGGCTATCAACTTCAGCAGTGGTGGAGCGCAGTGACTTTGAGCCATTTTGAAGCCACAAATTAGTTCACTAAACCACAGTTACTGGTTTTCAATCATGTGTCTATGTAACTGATTGTCATTTTATATATGAATGTACAGAAAGTACAACAGGCAGGCACCTTAAATTACATATAATTCCGTTTCATAGACAAGAAAACTGAGCAGAATGAATTTGACTTAGATAAAATAGCAAGTTAGAGGCAAAGTTAGAACCAGGACTGAGATTGCCAGCCTCCTACCATAGTGTCTTTACTGTTGTATCTCTGTTTGCTCCTACCCTTGACTGCTGATGGAAGTGTCAGTTTCTTGGTCTTTATGATCAAAAAGACTTAATAGGCTTGGCCCTTTCCCTCTCTCCCAGTAATCTGGGTCAATTTTGTTAGATAATATACACGACTGCTTAATTAGCTGACTACCATCTACTCATGATGACAGAACTTAGAAGATGGGTCATCTGAAAACTGAACAAGGAGACGGAGTAACTAAAAATACTAACAGGATCTAGTTCCCAAAGTCTATGTTCAAGTGAGCTTTAGAATCAAGCCCTGCGTATTGTATGGTCATATGTTTTATCTGTGTTTCAAATATAAATTAAATTTAATTAATATTATTAAAGATTATTAAAGTCTGTGTAAATGGTTTTTCTATTTTCCAGTAAGAGTTTCTTGGTCTTCCCTTCTAGCTTCCAGTTCGTTCTTTAACACTAGATGGAAGTAATATAAACAGCCTACTTAATCTTAGTTTGCTTTTTAATGAAATCAAAGTTAAGACTTTTAGGCCTCTTTCTTATGAACACATACTAATTTATCTGGAGGTAGTTTAATATATTACCTTAATAATATATTACCTAATTAAATATATTATCTCCAAGTGTAATGTTTCCTAAAGGTTATTGAATAATAATGATTATTAATTATTATAATAACTAGTAAACACTCTGACCAGAAGTTTTCTATGTTGTTTTATCTAAGCAGACATTTGACACATAGGATTTGAAAAAAGGATGCTTAAAAAGAAGTTTGTAATCATAGGACAAAACAAGTGTAGAGAATGTAGAGAGACAGAGACACATACCATGTACACTCGGAGCATTCAGCAAATCTCAGCTGTGGAGAAGGTTGCTTCAGGCACTGTGCCATTTTGTCTTCACTTTTCAGAATTAGAAGTAGGTTGCTGTATTGTCCATTTCTGTTGCTTATAAAAGAAATACCTGAAACAGTAATTTGTAAAGAAACAATATTTCTTTCAGTTTCAGTTTCAGAGGCTTGGAAGTCCAAAGTCCAGGGAACACATCTGGTGAGGGCTTTGATGGTGGCTCTACAGTGACACAGAGGTAGAGAGAGAGAGCTAATCTCTTTACTCACTCTCCTTTTAAAGCCATCAGAACCATGCCCGTGACCACCATTAAACCACCAACTTATTACTCAGTGCATGGATCATTCCGTTCAGTAGGGTATGGTCCTCACAATCCAATTACCTCCTCAGGCCCTGCCTTTCAGTTACCATTCATAGGATTTCTCACCTTCTTAACACTGTCACAGTGGAGATTACATCTCAGAGAGCTGTTGGGGGGGGGGACATCCAGTCCACAGTAGTTGCACTTCATTTTATGGGTAAACAGTAACTTTTGCTTCAGGACCAGCTGTATCAGTCATTCTATTTTATTTTCTATATTGACAGTTTACATTCTGTGCCTACCAGTACCAAATGCTTACTTACTATACCAGGCACAGTTCTAGTACTTTCTCTGAATCAAATTATTTAATCCTCATAACAACTCTTATGAGGTAGGTTCGATTATCTACATTTTTCTGATGTGGAAACTGAGGCACTGAGAGGTTAAATAATTTGGCCAATGTTATATGTTTCATTGGGGAAGGGGCTGAGCATCTGAGCACCCAGAGAATCTGGCTCTACCGTGTGTATCTTGACTGTTATGTTACATTGCCCCTTAGAATACTTGTATACTTAGGTTTTATAACAATTAAATGTTTAGGTTATTTTCTTTGATGGTGCAAGTGGAAGAGTAAATGGAGACAGAGGCCTCTGTGGACTAAGTTAGAATTCAGGATGCCTGTCAGTAAGTATTTGAGGCCAGAAAACAGTTAAGACGTTCTGTTATACAGGAATATTTAGCTTAATTTCTGTCTGGATCATTAGAGTCCTAACCCATGGCATTTTAATTTTCTAACTTCATGGTCTATATTTCATGAAACATTTTTGATAAATTATTTTGTTTCTACAGAAACTGAAACAGAAGAATCAACAGCTGAAGCAAATTATGGATCAATTACGAAATCTCATCTGGGATATAAATGCCATGTTGGCGATGAGGAACTAAACTTATATTTAAATTTCCTGCTTTACATGTTATACCTTTGTTGTTTTTTTTTCTTCAAGTATTTTTTTCCCTTTGAAAAAGATTATCTGTTTTTATTTTATTCACTAGAACTAAAGCTCCACTTTTTACATTGTGGTTTTACTTTAAAGTATTCATTAACATTTTTTTTAATGCTATTTATTCTATGAAAGATTATTGTAATAAACTTGGATAGGGTTTGTGTTTTGGTTAATCTTCATGAATTGAATAATTGCTTTTTAAAAACAAAATAAAGTTTTGTAAATAAATTTTTTAAATTTGATCAGTGGTTTTTACTAATTTCCATTACACTTTTAGAAGAAAATTAAATATTTTTGCAGATAAAAATAAGTAGTCAGTCTGTGATGCAAATAAATATAAAGATATGTTACTATTTCAGGTCAATTTTTTAAGTTCAATTTTATTTCCAAACCAATTAAAGTGAGAAGATATTTAACTTGTATATTACTATAAGTAAACAAAAATTATCATGTTCTTTAATTGAAATAATGTGTCTCTAAAAGAGAAATAAATGACATGAGGATAGCACAGATTGAAATCACAACTGTGTGCTTATCTGCTGCCTGCTTAAGGCCAAGAAACAATCACCTCTCAACCTTGTTACATACACCCTAATCATGAGTGTTTTGGCAACAGTACATTCTTAAGAGTTTTAAATGAGATATTGCTATATAACACGTGCTTTTTTGGTCTATGGTAAATCCTTTATAGGTGTGCCTATGGGAGCTGGTCTCTAAGCTTATAAATATATCCTCAGATAAGAGAGTTGGAATCTTCTCAGAAAGGACTTTTCCAGCCTGATTCAGAAGCCCCTACCTCTCTGGCCTGAGTTCTGACTCTGAAAAATACTATTTTACTTCTCGTGTGTAGATAAAGCTCTGAAAGGTTACACAAGAAACTGGTAACCAGCTTGCTCTGGGAAGGAGAACTGGGTGGTTGAGGATCAGAAGGCACTGACTTTTCATTGTATACCCTTTTGTACCTTTTGAATTTTATACCACATGCAAATATTTATTGAAAAAATAGGCAAATTTTTATTTTAAATTATGCAGATTCCCACCTATAACAGATGGCGGAGCACAAGAAGACAAGCCAAACAATGCAGGCATCTTTAGACCCTCTAACTTTACAAAGCAGTTTTGAGCAAGCCTGCTGTTAGTCAGATGGGGAGCTGACTCTGCCCACAGTGGGAAGCTCTGCAGAGTTCCAGGGCAGAAGGTAAATAAATGTATATGAAGCTGTAACAAAAAGCGTTAGGACCAATAGTCCAACCTACCACGGTACTTCACAGTATCTGCATATATTACAGTTTATTTGAACATGCAGGTTTTTAAAGGTTTTCACTACTTATTGTGTTCTTTCGTTAGGACCAATAGTCCAACCTACCACGGTACTTCACAGTATCTGCGTATATTACAGTTTATTTGAACATGCAGGTTTTTAAAGGTTTTCACTACTTATTGTGTTCTTTGCATGGTAGTTTATATTGTGAATTTAGTGCACTTTTCCTAGTTTTCTTGTGAATTTAGTATTTGGTACTGAAAATTTTTAAGACAGTTATAAAAAATGTTGCGACCTAATATTTTTGTTGTTTTAATTGTCACACTGACCTGCTTAGATCATTCCAGGTACTACAAACTCAATTCTTGGAGGGAATGTGGAAATTGTATCTGCATCCTTTGGGTCTTGGTTCTATAGAGAGCATCTCTACTGTAGACCAATAATCAATGTGGCCTACACTCCACTACAGAGCTGTAGCCCCAAGTTCAGGGAGGGTGTATTCTCAACCCTCAAAACTGACGTCAGTTTACCCAGTCACTCACAAGCCTACTCGGAACCAATTATGAATGTGGTGGGAGTTATTAAATACATAGACTTTACTAACTCTCAGAGTTTCAACTTTTTTCTTGAGGGAGTGCATGCCAATGTTTTGAACAGCAAAGGTACATTCAGTGGTAATGTGTACCATTGGACAAGTTAATCTCTATTTTGTCTGTAAAATGATGGGTGAGATAGTGATCTCACAGTCTATTTCAGAATTTGGGTTGCAAATGTTAGAAACCCAACTCCAAATGGCTTAAGCCAAAAAGGGGATTTATCAGTTCTGTAGTAAAAAAAGATGCTAGAGAAGAGCTCACAGAATCAAAGAAAATTGCAGGAACTAACGCTTTAGAAATTAGAACCAGGATTCAGTGCCCTGGAGACTTTCTATGTTCCCCCTAATTTCTTATCTCTGTTTGCTTCATTCTCTTATTGCAGACAGGTTTTCTTTAAATTGTGGAAAAGATGGCCTTCTACTGTCTTTATATCTTTTCTGTATCCTGATCCCAGAGGTTAGACTGTTTCTCCTCCAATTTTAAGTTGAGAAATCCCAGAATGAACTCTAAAAGCTTGGGTGATATAACCAATCTCTGGACCAACTGTTGTGTCAATAGGTGCTATGATTAGACTAACCCAGGTGGTAAGCCCATTTCTGTAGCCAGGAATTGGCTGTGGAAGTCATTGAAGAGTGTACTGTGCAGGGAACAAATATTAGGGAAAAAGGACCAACCAAGAAAATCTGCAAGAAAAACAATGGCAACCACAGTCCACTGATGTTCTTCCTTGGTTATAATACTATCTCAGATACCATACCAGTTATTCAGCTTTCAAAAGCCCAAGAAAAGTTTACAGAAAACGAAATTCATGCATCATGGGAATATCACTACCCTTAATTATTTTTTTCTGAATTTGTGAACTTCTGTGCTAACATTTTTCTTTGCAGCTGTTTCTTTGCAGCTGTTTCAATTAATTGCAATGTGATCTTCTCAGGTCTTGGTTAGCCTGGGTTAAAGCACAGATAGGAAAGAGGTAAGAAAAAATAAAATGAAAGCTTTGGTATCTTGGTAAGGACGTTATTGTTGAAATGATTTGGAAATCTCCGGCCCTGATCATGCAGACATTAGATCCCTTGGCACCATTACAAGCCAAAATGTGTTAACTTGACATTTTGATGTAGTTCCAGCTTGAGTAATTCATTTTCTTTCCTTAAATTCCCACGGAAGTTTAAGCTAGATAGAGGAGTTTTTCAGCCTTAAACTAAAATGTGTGCTTGTCCTAAAGCCTCAGTTTGTTATCCTGAGAGTTCTTAAATGTGTTCAACATAACTGGGTGCCTTAAGTTGTTGTCTAATCGTTTAAAATACTAGTGCATCAAGGACTGATTGTGATTTTTAAAGGTATTGTGGGTGTGTTTTTTATCACATGACAGTAGTTTTGAATTCTTTCACACTTTTTTTAACCAAAGAAGTAAAATTATTAGATTCATTTGTTAATATTTTTTAACTTTAGTATACTCAGGAATTATTTGGCTGCATTTTTAAAAATGCAGATTTTTGAGTTTACCATAAATGTACTAAGTCAGAATCTCTAGGGTAGGGGTGTAAAAATCTGCATATTTAACAAATTTTCCAGGTGATCTGTTACACTTTGAAAAATATTGTTCTAAACAGTTTTATGAGAGTTATGAGTATTTTAATGTGAAAAACTGTTCAAGTATAGCAATGTTCATATAAAATAATATGTATTTTGCCATATTTAGAGTTCTGGTCTTTTGGGTATTTAAAAATAATATTCTGTATCAGCTGTTCTCAGTCTTGGCTGCACATTAGAATCAGCTGGGGAAATGTTAAAATTCCCTATGCTGAAGCCACACCCCAGACCAATTAAATCAGAATTCTGGGGTGAGATCCAGGCATCAATGTATTTTAAAGTTGCCCAGGTGATTCCAATGTGAAGCCAACATAAGAACCATTGCTCTATACAGATTTATAGGCATGGAAAGAATCTTAAAGGATTGTTTTTTCAGTAACAGTCAAGAAATAGTATGTTCTCACAAAGGTTTTATTTTTAAACAGCTCTGAGGAAAGTTCATATTTACAAGAGCCAAATACTTAAAATCTCCCAGTGCTTTACCTAACAAACAACTCCATCATTTGCAAGGATGAAATGAGATAAGGTTTTAACACTGTGCCTCTACAGAGAAAGAAAGGGGATCTATAGATGTCAGGTGTCATTATCCCCGCTGGGATAAAAACTAAAGATTTTGAAACAAATTCATCATCATTTATTTCCCCTTCCTCACAAGTCAGCTCTCCCTCCAATTGCCTTCAGCAAAGCAGCACTGAAGTTTCCTCAAACTTGCAGTGGAATTTCAAAAACTCCACTCTAGTAAGATGTGTCACCACTGCCATTTTTTCTGTTGGCAAAGCCCTAACTCCCCACCCCACCCTGTGCTTTTTTAATCCCATCTGTTCCATTCGATCACTTCTATCCTATCAGTCTCCAATTACTATCTTTTATTCCAAATGTGTTTTCTTTTTTCCCCATCGTATCCAATTTATATTTTCTTAGTGGGCACATAATTATTATTTATATATTTATGGGGTACACTGTGATATGCAATGATCAAGTCAGGGTAATTAGCATATCCATTGCCTCAAACATTCATCATTTCATTGTGTTAGGAACATTCAAAATCCTCTCTACTAGCTATTTGAAAATATACAATAAATGATTGTTAACTGTAGTCTCTCTGGTGTGCTAGAGAATACTAGAACTTATTCCGAATGCCAATTTCCCTTAGACATAACCACATAACTACGATGGCTGCCTTTCAGGATGCTCTAATAGCCTAATGATTTGTTGGCAAATTCAGTGTTGGCTTGGCCTCTTCCTCAGCCTGGATGCCCTGTCCCCTCTGGGTAAATCTGTGATGGCTGCCTTTCAGGATGCTCTAATAGCCTAATGATTTGTTGGCAGATTCAGTGTTGGCTTGGCCTCTTCCTCAGCCTGGATGCCCTGTCCCCTCTGGGTAAATCTGTAATCCTTCAAGGTTCATCACAAACCCCACTGCTACCCGTGAGACCTCTCCACACTGATTTCCGCCATCCTTTAACTCTGGGGACTCACCTATCATTACACCTGCCCCCTGCTCTTATGTTCCAATTTCATGTGCATGTCTCACCTGCCTAAGTAGATAGGAAGCCCCTGGGATTGGGATTAATTCTCCCTCTTTTCACATCCAGCACAATGCTATAACCATCACAGATTTTCAAATATTAGTGATTGAGCTTGCTTGAGTCCAAATTCATTTCAGTTTATAAGTTCCCACAGATTGATAAATAATCTTTTTACTTTGTACATTGACTTAAGCAGTTACTCCTTTGTTTAAACAATACTTGATCCAAGAAATAATACTTTTGAAGTCAAAAT